CCCCAAAACCCCAAAACCCCAAAACCCCTGGGTGAAATGTATTACTTAAAATAGATGACGATAGATTTTTATAATAATTTGAGATTGCGGTACTGAAAATCTTATAATTTATCAGAAATCTTATTAAATCATAATAAGTAGTATATAAGGCATTGATTACGTCAACTTAGTAATAAATAAATAAATCAAATGTCTAGCGCTAAAAAACTTCTCGAACAACTGCCCAAACATAAAATGATTCTAGATCCTAAGAGTTATAGAATGGCTCATCCTGTCTATTCTCTTAAGGATATCGAGACTATTGCTGTAACCCATAGAAAACCAGAAAACTTCCGCGATAAGTTCGCTCTGAACCTTATCAGAATTATGAGAAGTAGCTTTGACTTTGTAACAGGCTATAATGAGAAAAAAATGACCACTTCTTAGTGGCTGAACAGAGTAGTATTTCTAGAAACTGTGGCTGGAGTCCCGGGAATGGTTGGGGGCATGACTAGACACCTTAAGAGCTTGAGAACCCTCAAACCAGACCACGGTTGGATTCACAACTTGCTAGAGGAAGCTGAAAACGAAAGAACCCACCTTTTTATTTTCTTGGACCTTAAACAACCAAAGTGGATGTTTAAGACAATGATAGCTATGGCTTAAGGCGTGTTTTATAATCTCTACTTCTTAAGCTATCTAGTTGCTCCTAAATATTGCCACAGATTCGTTGGCTATCTTGAGGAGGAAGCTGTCCATACCTACACTGTCCTTTTAAGATAAATCGATGATGGCAGCCTACCAGAATGGAAGAATATGCCAGCTACTTAGATGGCAAAAGAGTATTATAACTTGCCGGAAGATGCTACTCTAAGAGACGTTATTTTATCAATTAGAGCTGATGAAAGCATCCACAGAGAGGTAAATCACTACGTGACTGACCAGCAGGTGGAAGAACCTGTCGAATCAGAAGAGGTGTATATAGTAAATAGAAAATATAATTCAGGTGACTTTGGTCATGAACATAGACTAATCCAAGATATCACTAAGTGAATGAGTGGTACTTAAAAATTTATCGTAGGAAATTAATAAATATTTTAATTTATTTAATGGCTAATTTAAACTTTCTATGTTTTTGATTAATTATATCAGCCCTGAATTTATGAATTATCAGTCCTTATTCTGTGGGGTTTTGGGGTTTTGGGGTTTTGGGGTTTTGGGGTTTTGGGG